ATTTTTATGTCACTTTTTAGTGTTTACCCTTCACCCCCCCCCCCCCCCCNAAAAAAAAACTTGCTTCCTCCTTGGCTTCTTCACTGGCCCTTTCACGCACACACACACACAAAATATATAACAATGTCGTCGTTCTTGTTTTGAGTTTTTTTTTATCTCAAAAAGTTGCTATTTTTTTTACCTGCATTGTTTCGTTTTGGGTCGCCATATGATTTAATAGTAAATAGGTTTTATTGTTTGCTTCTGAGAATGAGAAATTTTGATGGTACTGGAATTTCTGCTATGGAGTCTACGTTATCAGGTACTAAGGGGTTTTCTTCTTCTTCCTATTGACTAATTTCCTATTGATTAATTGTTTTATGGTTTATTTTTGTCTGTTTTATCAGGCTAATAGTTGGGTGTTTTTTTTATTGTTATTTAAGTTCTTTTAGTTGGACTTCGTATGCTCTTTTTCTTAAAATCATTTTTTTGTGCATTGTTATTTTTGTTTATGTATGATTAATTCCTTAAAAGTTTTCTACTTGGCAATGTAAGTTGTGTTTTAGACTACTCTGTAACTAGCTAGGAAAAAAACCTGTGTTTTAGTAGTAATTAAATAATAAAGAACTGCATTTGATGCTTAAAAATGCACTCTTTTTTGTCATTTTTCTTATTTCTGATGCAACATAAGCTTGTGCATCTTAGGACGAGTATAGACTATAGAGTATTCAAGTGATATAAGCATGCAATATTATGTTAATTAACAAATGGTATCTTAGTTGAATTAGCAAGTTAGATGAGAAAAGAAGTTAGAAAAAAGAATGAATCAAGCAGAAAGTAAACTGAGGTGTTGATGGGGAAATGACCAACATTTGATCCTTGGTGAAAGGAGGGTTTATTTGGTGGAGAACTAGAGAAATCCCAATTATCTTGATCACCTATGAGCGACAGAGATTGTCAAGTAGGGGAAATTTCTTTCAATGTGGTGGTGTCTAGGGTGCTAGCTATTAGACTTGTGGACATAGGATATCATATGCTAAATTTGTCATTTTCTTTTACGAATAACAAGTTATAGCTTCTGCCTTGGCATTGCAGGGACTGGGCAGTTTGGTAGTTACTTCCTTATATAGTTGATATCATGCTTCTATAACAATAAGAAAGGGAACATTNTTTTTACCCCAAATAGTTTGGCGTTGTGGTGTAGTCGATCGATATATACACTTGTATGAATATGCACTAGCTAACTCATAAATAGGATCCTCATAAATTCTTGTGATTACCTGTGTGTAAAAGAAGAGTATTCACTGTGATTGCTGTTACTTGACCTGATAACTCTCGAGTTGCTTTGAGTACCAAATCCCTAGAGTAGTCTCTACTTTTATATTTCTAAATCCTTAAAGGTTTACTTTCACTTTGTTATTCTCAATACTTGGGGGATCTCATAATGCAGAGACACAAGAGAGTTCTATTACCAAATCAAGAGGGTAGATTCAGGCTTTCGAATTTGAAATAATGATACTCAAATGTGATTTAACTAATGAAGAAGGTTTTTCCTTTTCAGGTCTTGTTCTCGATCCCAACAAATTTAGCCAATTGAGTTTGGAAGAGAAAAGACAATTAGTGTATGAAATTTCTCAATGCTCAGAAGATGCGCCAAAGATCTTGAGTTCATTGACCAGAAGAGAACTTCTAGAGATTATATGTGCTGAGATGGGCGAAGAGAGAAAGTACTCTGGCTACACAAAATTCAAAATGATAGATCAACTTCTAAAGCTGGTTTCTTGCAAGTCCAACTCAAATACTGGTTCTGGCTTCAAAAGGCAACGAAAGCAAGAAAATCACTGTCAAACTTTCATTCAGAATGGTGAAGCTATTCGGGAGATGGAAAGCAAAACTCAGGTCCTACTCTGTCATAATTTGGTGTGTAGAGCTACTCTCTCTCAAGAGGATGTTTTCTGCAAAAGATGTTCTTGCTGCATTTGTCATCAGTATGATGATAACAAAGACCCTAGTTTGTGGTTAGCCTGTGAATCCAATTCTCCAGCTGAAATTAAGCCATGCGGATTGTCATGCCATCTAAAATGTGCACTTGAACACGAACAATCCGGCATTTTGAAGAATTGCATCAATCAAAAACTAGATGGAGATTTCTATTGTGTTTCGTGTGGAAAAGTTAATGGGCTGATGAGGTATTTAACTCTTTCTTTGACCTGTAACATTGTGTGTTTTTATCTTGCTGTAACTGATGCATATCTTTTCTCAATACTGTTGTGATTATGCATGCTTGCTTTGAGCCGAGGGTCTACCGAAAACAGCCTCTCTACTCTCTACTCTCCCCAAACTCCACTTGTGGGATTACACTGGGTATGTTGTTATTGTTGTTGTTGTAGATCCAAGAATATGGATTGTACATGGTTTTGCTTTGCACCAATAGTGATTTCTTTGGAACTACTGATCCCTCATCTGCATGCTCTTTTCCTTTTGGAAATACTCAGTAAAGTCTGATTTAGGAAGTAATGGACCTTATAGACCCTTATTAATACAGAGAAAATATATATTTTTTAAAAAAATTATAGAATGGCCTATAACTTCTGTATAATAGCCTGATTTGCCCAAAATAGTTGTACAAGTGATCCATACCTTGCAAAAATCTTTAACTGATAGGGGTTGTTTCGGTGGGCATACATCAGCAGAGAAAAATGTGATTTTTTTTCTTTCAGTGGAGTTTCTTTTAATTGAACTAACCTTGTCTGAGTTGCTTTAGAACATTGAGAAAGCAATTGATGACAGCAAAGGAGGCGAGAAGAGTTGATGTGCTTTGTTTAAGAATCTCTCTAAGCCATAAGATCCTGGAGAAAACTGAGAAATACAAAGGACTGTTGAAACTTGTTGAGTTGGCTGTTGAGATGCTGAAGAATGAAGTAGGGCCTCTTGCACAGGCGTCAGAGAAGATGGATCGCAGGATAGTGAACAGGCTTTCTTGTGGTACCGCAGTTCAGAAGCTGTGTGGTTCTGCTGTGGAAGCTTTTGATTCCATGTTTCCCAACCAATACTTTAATCCTTTGATAAAGGAAGAGCCTCCGATGCGTGAGTATTCTTAGTCAATTTATTATCGAATATCTGCATGTCAATAGCTCTACTACTGTGCAGGTTATGATGGTCTAATATTTGACAAGAAAAGTCTCTCATTCATTGGATCACTGCAATTGTTTCTTTATTTGTTCAAGCTCGTTAAACTTTGACTATTATTTTACGGGATATACTAGTTGAGTTCTATCAAATAAACCGAAGCTTTTGCAAGAAGTTCCAACAACTAAACATAGATGTTTATGTTCACTACTTAAATCTGGAGGCCAGCCAAACTGATATATAACCATAGCCTTCTTCATCTTTCATTCTGTGGACTACTAATTTCTTATTTTGCTTTTACTGAACACTCTGACAGCTTGCCGGATACATTTTGAGGAGCCATCTCCATCTAAAATAACCATTGTCTTCAAATATGATGATCGTATGCTGAAAGAACTAATAGGCTTCAAATTGTGGTATCGAAAGTCCACTGCAGACAAATATCCAGATGAAGCAACTTTTATTGCACTAAGCCCTGCGACGAGATTTATGCTGGACGGTCTTGATCCTTCCACGCAGTACTTCTGCAAGGTTTCTTTCTTCAGCAAGACAACGACTTTGGGGGTTCAGGAAGTAACATGGGTAACACCTGCCGTGCACACGAGCTGTAAGTCAGGTTCTGATGAAGTACAAAGGGAGAAAGAAAATGCTACTACAGATAGTACAGTGATGCATGCCGAGTCAATGAGTTCTACTGACAACAAACTAACAACTTACGATCCAAACACCAATGCATTTCCTACATCCCCTCTTTCCAAGATGCTCATTCCTTTAGCAAGTCCAGTTTCAAGTGCTCCAGCCACACCTTGCCAGACTGACGGGTCAAAGGAAGTGCAATTGAGTGATTACGAGTACTCTGTAGGAATCATAAGAAAGTTGGAGCATGAAGGGTTGATAGAAACAGATTTCAGAGTGAAGTTCTTGACTTGGTTCAGCTTGAAAGCCACAACACAAGAGAGAAAGGTAGTTAGAGTTTTCATAGACACCTTTATCGACGACCATTCAAGTATGGCGGGGCAACTTATGGATACGTTCACGGATGAGATATGCAGGGAGCAGAAAGTCACCCGACATGAGCTCTGTAGTAGGTTCTGGCATTAAACAAACATCTACTTACTGAAATTAGCTAGGGGGAATACAAAGCTCGTAGTTTTGAAAATTTACACAATTGATGATCCTACTAACCAATCCTTGACAACTTATCTTCTGAATCGTATCCGCAAATGTAATCTCTAGAGATAAAAGAGGGTTGAATCTGTTTTGTGCATGAAGCACAATGTTGAAGTAAATCCGTTATCTGAACAGGCTTTGGTTGTTATTTAAGGATAGCATTTCCAGAATGATGGGAGACCTTCATGATCCAATGCTTGTGGATATAAGTAACCTTAGGAGATTTGTTCAGACTTTGATACTTATATATATCAAAGACTTTCCGAGGAATAATGATAGATAAAACAGAGGTTTGATCCAAATATGACATGGCAAAGGAGGGGCAGAAATTCTCAAAGTTTGGTATTGTTGAAGTTATTTTACAGGGAAATGTTTTCCATGAGGTGTTTTGTAACACGAAAATGTTTTCCTTCCATCAAAGGAGAAAATTGACTTCTTTTTTAACTCCATAGTACTTACTTCAACTAACGCTTATACATTATTATTAATCTCTAATACTAAAAAATAAGTCGAACAGACATGGGAGATCGATTTTATGGTCCTCTGTAAATGTAATTTTAGTTATGACCCTTTTCACAAGAGGTCGGTAGAAATAACACAGATCGATAAATAAAAAACATGAGATCTTCTTAAGGCCATTTTCTTGTCAGACCAACTTATAATTGTGGTGACATTACTGACGATTGTATCACTTTACTGTCCAATATCCATGAAACAAAACATGAAACGTTACAATAAGTTAGGGAGTTAAGTGGGTGATAACTTGACAATTCCAATTACAAATCAAACCTTGGTGCATAAAATCTGTTCAATATTGCCACGCTCCAATAGTGAATCAAAGTGAAACAACGATTGGAACTTACTAGGCAATGATAACATAAAATGAGCAGGAAACTGTAAAGAAATCTGGTGGCCTTAGACTACAGCTCAACTTGCTATTTGCAGTAATTACAGGAGTATGAGACATAATTATAACTAAAAACTCCAAGCATCACAAAGCTTTATGTGCCAGATTCATCATTCACAGTGTCTTTGCTAGCTGCTTCAGTAAATGCGGCAGCCAGGTATTCAGCGACGCTTTGCTGGGGAGTTGATTCTGTTGGAGTTTCTCCAAGTTTAGCCTTCTTTGAGCTATTGGATTTTGGAAGCCAGGAATTCGGAGAGTCACGTGTATCTCTATGTGGCTTCCAAATAACTGGCTTCAATACTTTCCATGGGTCTTGCACCATTGACTTGTGATAGTAAACTTTCAATAGACCCTTGCTTCGTCCTGAACCTCGGTGATGGCTGCCTCTGAATCCTGAACCTTGGTAGGGGCTGCCTTGTCCATATTGGCTACCATCTCCACCTCCTTGAGGAAAGCAATCACTGGAAATGTCACCAATTTGCGGTGAATTAGGTGGAGAGTAGTTGTTAGGTGTGCCAAGAGAGCTATCCAAAGTGTTAGAGGAGTTCCCTGGTGGTGTACAAATGGGACTAGTTTTCCTACGGATCCCAAGAGGAATGGCATTGACTCCTCGTGGCTGGTACGTTCTTTTAGCTGAGTTATAGTTGCCTTGAGCATGATAAGCTGGAGAAGCGGCATTCATTGGTCCTGAAAAAAGGTAGAGTAAACAAGGGTCAAGATTTATATACAACAACAACAACATACCTAGTATTATCCTACAAAGGGTCAAGATTTATATATACTACATAAATGCAAAGAAAATAGCGAAGTGACTATTCCACATGACAGTATTTGTTGAACCAAAGCTAGTACATCAAAATTAATGCCATTAGAATAACATTCCAATTCACATCTACTATATACCTTTCTTACTAAGAAGAGGACGTCTCAATATCATCCTTTTTCAGATCCATATCCCTTACTTTTCATGCTAATAGAATGTTTGTCATTTGCAAAAGTTTTGCTGATTGCAGAATAGTATTATCTCCAATATGCATCAGGAATCATTTCAGACAAACCGACCTCTCTCCAGGAGAGAGGATAAAGGAGCCTAAGGTGCTCGGACTCGGGACGAGGACGGCACCAAAATCGAAGAGTCCGCGCAACTTAGAAAGGAACCCACTCCAAATTCTAGAAAAGAGGATATAATTCATGCTAAAGTGCTACAATTTGTTTTTTTGCATAAGCTTCTCCACTAAATACATCTATCTGGCACGGGCTCAAAATTTAACAGATGGGACAAACTTAAAAGGAGCAGCGCAGTTGATGTTGATCTCACCTGTAATAAATTTTCTTTTCTTTTAAAATACTTTCTCCTCAAATTGCATATAACAGAGCCATATATCTTACATAAATGAGATTGAAGCTATGATCAAGATCTTCGGCAGCATTAGTTTCAACGGAGAAGGGCCACATATGCCCCTATACTATCAAAAAAGGTTTAAATGTACCCCTCATTATATTTTGAGTACAAATATACCCCTGTCGTTATACAATTGGTTCAAATATACCCTTTTCCGTTAAATTTGTCCAAAGTGGACATCCAATCCTACGTGGCACTAACATTTGATGGAGGTGAATGCCACGTGGCCTGCCATCTCAACACCCCTAACCCATTTTACCCCTTCCTTCTATATTTTTTCCACCACTAAAATTTCCTTCCCCTCCACCACTATTGCCACCATTACCGCTACCATAAAAAATATTGTATTTTAAATTTTAGTCTTATATATGGATTAGGGGCACTTAGGTGGCATGCCATGTGGCATCCACCTCATCAAATACCAGTGCCACGTAAGATTGGATGTCCACTTTGGACAAACTTAATAAAAGAGGGGTACATTTGAACCAATAGTATTACGGCAGGGGTATATTTGGACCCAAAGTACAACAAAAGGTATATTTAAACATTTTCTCATAGTACATGGGTATATTTGGCCCTTTGCCGTAGTTTCAATCAGCTTTTGTTTTGCCACATACCATCTTGATCAATAATTAAAAAAAAAACATGTTATATATATTCATCCCCTCCTCATGTTGACGAGTTTCTGTTGCTACGTGAGTTAAGCTTGTTTTTCTTCTTCCTTTTTTTTTTTTTGAGTAAATAATTAAGCTGCAAAGTGAACTAAACTTTTTTCTCATTTTTTTTTATAATCGTGGTGTCCGGCAGTGTTATCAAAGGCGAAAAGCGCAAAAAAGCTCTAAGGTCAGTTGGGGCTTTAAGCGCAAATCGCAACTAAAACGTGGGCTTTAACGAAGAAATGCACAAGTGGAGAAAGAAACAAATAGTTATGTGTAGTTCAAGACTAACAATTATAAGTGTGAATAACAAATATACGGACAAAGAAATTGAAAAAGAATGCGCAAACAAATAACAATTATAAAGTGAAATATCAATTGCTTAGTGTCGCCTCTTTAGGATTACGCTCATTGGCAAGGAAAAGTATGCCTTAGTCCTTACAGCCTTGATGACGACAGAAGCGCCCGCTAAGCGAGGCGAAGCGCTCAACATGTTTTGAGCCTCGTTTTAGGGCTTAAGCGCGCCTTTGACAACACTGGTGTCCGAGGTGTGCATACTAATTCCACGGGATACCTGCTACCTCCCACCAGCAACAGGTACCGGGTAACTCTATCCACCAAGGCTTGATCAGAAGTTTTGAAGTTATAATGAAGTTTTGTTCTTTTTTTGGGTTGGGGTGAGGGGTTCAAGCAAAGGTCTCACACCTTCCCGTCCTCTACTTATGCCTCAATCACATCAATCCTGAACTATTTGCCATTATGTTTTCAGTCAAGCACAACCTCCCGAGCACCAGGTTTAAGCAACATCATAACAGTTCGTCCCATTCACGCTTCAACCTGAACTCTACATTTTTTGATAAGTACCTAAAGTCTACATTCATAACTTTGAAAAGTGAAAGAGGGTCGTTATGACTATTCTTAAGCTTCCTTTCTTCGAGAGTAGGATCTTGTTACTTTACTGGTCGTTATGACTGTTCTTAAGCTTCCTTTCTTCGAGAGTAGGATCTTGTTACTTACTTATGTAATCTAGAGTTACCATATCCAATATATCATCCGACAAGTTGTGAAATATTAGTACCTATAACTACAAGCATTCATGAATAAATTAAAACTTCCAAGAAAGAAAACGTAATTACTTGGACGAGGCGTGTTACAAGGTTGTGAAGCTGAAGGAGATTCAATCAATGGATTGGTAAGGCCATCACCAAGGGTTTCCCCTATAGATGTTTGTACTTCAGAGTTATCTCCAGCCTCTGCAGCTTCCTCTCTAATTGCTTTCAGCCTCTCCTTTCTCTTTTCTGACTCCATTCTTTATATATGATCTCTAATCAAGAATCCAATCCCCACTATCCCTTAAAAAAAAGATACAACAACAACAACATCCCAGTATAATCCCACTAGTGGAGTCTGAGAAGGGTAGTGTGTACGCACACCTTACCCCTAACCTGGGCCAGAGAGCCTGTTTCCGATAGAAACTCGGTTCCCTCCCTCCAAGAACTCCCTCACCTTGCTCTTGAGCTGACTCTAACTCACAACCTCTTGGTTGGAACTCTTGGTTGGAAGTGTGGTTGGAAGTGGACGGTGCTAACAACTAGAGCAACTCATTTAAAAAAAAAAGATAATGTACTAAATTTCCCTTNTTATATAGCCAGATAAAAAGCTCCAATCCAAACTATCCCTTAACAAAATAATACAAAAATTCCCAATTAAAAAGATCAAATTTTTAGCTAAATAGGGCTACTGGGTGTGTGAAAATACACATATATGTATTCCCAGACAAAAAAAAAATCCAATCGAAACTATCCGATTAAACAAAAAGAAATACAAAAATTTCCAAAAAGATCCTATTTTCAACCAAATCGGGCTAGTGGGTGTGTTAATATACAAGCCTATATGTACACCCAGATAGAAAGATCCTATTTTTTAACCAAATAAAGCTAGTTGGTTTATTTGGTGGATTTTGGGGTTTAGGGTTGGATGGCCTGCTTGTAAATCGCTGCTGCAATTTTGAAGTAGAAAAGAAGAGAACAGGTTCTAATTCCAAGAATCCAAAGGTTTTATTTGCAATAATAAATTCTCACTTTTACCCTTTAGAGAAAGGAGAAAAAATAATTTAACCACATTTTATTCCAGTTGACTCAAACGTTTGAGGTGGGCACTTCGGTTCGGTTGCGAATGTTGTCGGGTTTAGCATATCGATTATAGGTTTATAAATATGCTAAATAGATAATTAAATGGATAAGATATCGATTTTCGGTTATCGGTTTATCCTATAAGATAAAAAATATGATAAACTTTCTCGATTGTTGTAACCCTCTCAAAGAATATAGTAAACCTAACAACATTGTTTTCCTGTGTGTTGAATGACAAATTTGGAAGGTTTAGAACGGTAGATAGATAATTGGGAGAATTAGAAAATTTATATACCTAAGGGTAAAATCGTATTTTTATAAAATTTATTGGGTTATCAGTTAAACCGTTAAAAAATTGGGCTAATCAAGCCCGAACAATAATAAAATAATATTAAACTATTATTGAACCGTTAACCCAATAATCCGATACCGATAACCCAATAAACTTTTTTTGGGTCGGGCTATAGATTTTACGGATATATGCCCAGCCCTAGTTTGATGGGCATTTGCGGAATTCTAATCAGAGAATAAATGCCATATTCAATTTTCCTTCTATAAAAATTCCGTTTCTACATAATTCTCTCTCCTTTTGGCTTGTGTGCAGCGACGATACCAAAAATGGCGAAAAACGAGAGCTTCCAAGGTATTTTTTTTCTCCTCTATTTTCCCTTATTCTTATTTTAAATCTCTTAATTTTGCTTTGTATATTTTTCAACTTTGATTTTACTATGAACAACAGACTAGGATAAATTGATTTTTTTTTGCAAGCTGTTTTTGACTTTTTATGTGCCTAGAAGATTTTGGTTACCAAAAAATTGTAATTTCTGAACAAACGTTTTGTTGAGGAAAAGCAATGAGAAAAAAAGTTGAAATCTTTGTTGTGGGAAAAAAAAATTCTAAGTTATTAAGTTCTTTAAAAGAAGATAGTTTTTGGCTAATATATTTGGGTTTGATGGGTAGTTAAGGTATAGGGTAGTTAGGTATTTGTTTGTGTCTTTAGCTATATAATAAACCTAGCGGTTTCGATTTAAATCCGACAAAAAGTATTAAGTGATTTCCTCATATCCGCCTAAGCCTTGGTGGGAAGAGTTAGGTAGTAGGTACCCGGAGGAATATTGCACGCAAACTGGCTCTAACACCGATGTCAATAAATAATTAAATAAAAAGCTCAGCATGTTTTGGTTGTATGTGTAGTTTAATGAAGCTTATATTACTTATCCAGAAATCAAAAAGTTTATATAGAGCTTTTAGTCTATTGGGGAGTCTAGGTATGTAGCTCTACAATATGGATTTTGAGTAGCATTTTTCACTGGTTATGAACATTCTTTTGGCCTTTTTTTATTCCTTTTTATTTTCAATAGAGACTTTTTGTGTTTCCTGTTAAGCTGTATTTTTCCTTCCCTTTTCCCCTTTCTGTCGTTGGAGATATAAGGATGCTATTATATCGATCTGGACTGGTAACATTTTTTTTTTTTTGTGATAATGTAAATATTTTATTCATATAAAGTTCCAGCACTAAGACAGTGTTGAATGTTACATCTGCCGGAATAGTACAATGAAGCTTAACTCTGCAAGATAATGTAAAGGTTTTATTCATATAAAGTTCCAGCACTAAGACTGTTGAATGTTACATCTGCCGGAATAGTACAATGAAGCTTAACTCTGCAATGAATCTGTGAATTCCAACAATCTCCCTTCATCATACATATTCTCAAGATTATACCATGTAGCTAAGTTACATAAGTATATAATTTCCGAATCTGTATAGGAATTTCTTTACCCTCAAAACACCTTAAGTTCTTTTCCTCCATATAGTCCCAAAACGCGCAACCAGGAATAGTCCTCCATAGGTATCCAGCTTCTTATTTCCTTTGGAATATGTTCAGCTGAGGAGATCTTTAATGGTTGCTTTAATGACCCATTTGATCCCGAAGATATTGAAAAAGAGATGCCAAAGGTAACCAGCAACCTCACAATGCAGGAACTAATGCCTGCTATCCTCAATTCCCATCCCACAGAGGAAGCATCGGCTATGTAACTGCGGACCTCTTTTCTGTAGATATAACATGCCACCTTGTAAAGAATTTTGGCTCCTGAAATGATCTTCCAAGGCCATGAAGGAAAATTTCCTGCTGCTACCAAGAACTTCATAGGATGATTGTACAGAGAGAACACCATTTCTTTGTTCAGTCCCATCGTTTATGAGGCACGTCCAAGAGATTTAATACATATATCACTTCCTTGGCTGAATTGATGAAACTGAGTGTTATAAAAGATTGGAAGTTAGCACGCATGTACACCATTAGAGTTAGTGATCTTGTGCTAAAGATTCAACAAAGGGTAGTTAGGCATAGGTTATTTTTAATACTTCTTTACTTCTTATAATTTGGGATAGGTGTAAATATTTGTTTTTAGACAGGGGTATTACGGTTTTGAAAAGAGAGGGGACAAGAAAATATGGACAGTTTCCAATCCATAATACTTACATTGTCCGTTCCACAGGATTTGATGGTCCAAATTACAGAGAATGTAGCTTTATAAACATATGTGTGCATGCATTTGTGTTATTATTATACAAATGGTTGAAAATCTAAACATATGTGTGCATGCATTTGTAGCTTTAAGCTTCTTTCCTGCTTATTGCTTCTGTTTCATCTTATTGCTAGTTTTATTAGGGTGGTCACTTACTTTTAAACATATTACAGGTGTGTCGACTTGTTATGTTTTCAAAAGCCGATTGCAAGAGTATGCCCAGAAAGTTGGATTTCCTACCCCTGTTTATGAGATTATCAAAGATGGCCCTTCTCATAAGCCTACATTTAGGTCAACAGTGATTGTGAATAATGTCAGATATGATTCTCTACCTGGATTTTTAAATCGCAAGACAGCGGAGCAGTCAGCTGCTGAAGTTGCACTCAAACAACTTGTAGATTCTGGGGCAATGACATGGTGCCTTTCTCAGCCCGTGGTACTTCTTCTTTATCCTTTTCCGTTTGGACAAAACAAATTGTGCTTCTGAGCTTATCTGCGCTACGATATAAACTATTCCTGCATTCTGGATTGTGTGAATACATATGTTGCTTTTCATTTCCGGGGGAGAGGGAGGGGATAATTTGATTAATTTCTAGATTTTTGATTAGATAATTACTAGATTTAAAGCGAAGGAGAAATACGATTTTGGCGAGTAGATAAAAGATCATGTGTGGGTATGATTTTTGGCAGGTACATAAGAATTTTCACATGAAGGGTGGTTGGGAGGGGTTTTGCTTCGAATTATTTTACAGATGGGCAGATCATAATCATTACTTGTAGTACTCAGTCTTGTGAAGTTTTCCGGTCAGTTGTCTGCTATTTAAAAAAAAAAATTGGCAATAATCTATTTACAATTCTTTCAAGAATTAATTTGGCCATTTTAATCTCCTATGCTAATTTTTCCTAAAAAAACTTCCTTTTGAATTCCAATCCGTGGAGGCGGATTGTTTCACTATGATGGCTAGCATCTTCATGCCAATAACTTACCCTAGGCCAGTTCTTAATGATCTTTATGCTTAGGAAACTGTTTAAACTTCCCTTTTTGTGGTGGAATGCCTTATTCGTCATTTTAGCCCTCTTTTTATTTGTTAGTTTGAAGTATGTTAGATTGCTAGGGGTTTATCTGTTAGTTTGAAGTATGTTAGATTGCGTCCTTGGCTATGTGCTCAGATGTCATGTGGATCCAACTCTATGAATGTGCATAATTTTGTAATATGGAGCAACACGGCTATAAAGAAACCTTTTTTTAAAAAATTTGTTAACTAGTTTAGTACTAATTCTTGGTTGTTGTGCTGTTAATTTTCAAGCTTTCGTGTTCTGGAAGTCTAATACCTTTCTAATTTGCCTGTTTGGTGTATTTTTCAGCATGAGACAGGCTTGTGCAAAAATATGTTGCAAGACTATGCTCAGAAGATGAATTTTGCAATTCCACAATATGAAATGCAGTGGCATGAAACAAAAGGCAAAATCACATGTTCATTTTCATGTACTGTTGAGATAGGGGGAATAAGATATATTGGAGGGGCAGCTACGACAAAGAAGGAAGCAGAGATCAAAGCTGCTCGAACTGCATTGTTGGCCATTCAGTCTAGTGGGTTGTGGCCGGATGATAAGCCTAATGACTATTCTGCATACACTGTCATTCCACCGATGAACAAGGCCACAGATTTGGGAATCAGCAACCAAGAAAGTGCAGCAGCTCTGAAACCGAAGAAAGGCCATTTCAAGAAAAAGAAGAAGATGAATGCCAGTAAGCAGGTCTGCACAAAGAATACTGGTGACTTGGAAATTCAGATGGCAAATCAAGCAGAACCAGAGTTGCATGAAAATGCTGCTGTTAGTACTCAAGGTACAGAATCTGGACCTGCACCTATTGGAGGAGATATGACTGAGCGGAGTGCCGTTACTGGAGTTGGGCAGCTAACTTCTGAAGTAGATAGTTTTGCCGGTTGCTTGGAGCAGCAAACAACATGTGCTACAGATGCAGTCCAAGGCCGGAGTACAAACACAGAGGCAGAAATTTCTTAATGTATTTGATTTTGCAGGGTTAACTGTATGAGATTGAGATGGGCGTGAGAACAATTAGATTAGAGAAGACATAGTACTCGCAAATTTTTTGCGAATAGGTTAAGCTACTCACTTGAACATTCAGATCAACAGGGTTATCGATGGTGTGCTTTGCCCGAGTAGTTATAACATATATAGTTGCACTATTACATGCCAAATGTCTGGTGTAGTTGGCACAGCCACGGGTGCATGATTCAGTCTGTGACATTACCTAATTACTTCAGTTGCTTGAACATTTGCTTTGCCATTGATGAAGTAACTTAAGTTATTATGCTATCATTTTACCAGTCTCTACTTCATTTTGGAACATGATGTTCCATTTACTCTCTTTTTTAAATGTTCCATTTACTCCAGGGAAAGAGGAAAAATAAGAGAAGGATTATGGTCCTTTGGCAAAAACCTTTGAGTATTCATTTCTGGTTTAGTATGCATGCCTTAGGGGTTTTACTTTCCTGAAGGTTGAGTATGGATTATTTCATCACTAATAATAGTAACTAACAGGATTTGTTGCAAAACTAAGCCCGTTGTCAAATATTTTCTACATAATGGTCTTGAAGTGAAAATAGTCAATTTTTGGAGTTCTATGATATTGCAAGAAATGATAGTTTTTTTTTTTGTACAAGAAATAACAAATTTTGTAAAAACCAGCAATAGTAACAAACAATAATAACCACGCTTCAATCCCAAAAGGATATTATACTACTACATAGCTTATTGAGGAGTTTAAGTTTGTAATTTCATAAAAAACCCTTGAAAACTGAATATGTCGCTAATAACAAACAACTAACTCTGCACCACTTAAATTTTTTACTCCGGGGTTGTTTGGTTGAAAAATAAGTTATACCGGGATTATTATCCCACCTTTTCATGTGGATAAAAAAAAATTATAATACTAATCTCGAAATTAATTATACCGTAATTTTATCTTAAATTTAATGTTGAAATTAACGCATGGATCCAAATGTACATGAATTACCATAAATTTGTGACAGTTTAAAAGGTAAAATGGCTGTTTAAGTTGTTGCATTATTCCGGTTCTATAAAATGAGGCCGTGAGGGTACTTGGATCGGACCAGATCTAACAGTATTTATACTAAAGGAGAATTCCTTAAACCCAAAGCAAAACTTCCCCCCCTGATAACTCATCTGTGTGTTAATTGTGTGTGAAAATAAAATGCACGGAAGACCACGCAAAGCTCCAACAACAGAAGAGCAAGAAGCTTCTGCTATCAAAGCTTCCAAATTACGTTCTCTCCAATCCCAATTTCTCCAATTCCATCACAACAAAATGTAATCTTTTTTTCTTCTTCTGTTTATTGCATATTCTTGATCTACTAAAAAGATTAATTTGACTGCTGGTTGGTAATTTGTTTGCGGGATTTGTTTCAGATATACAAAGGAAGCATTAGATGTAAGTGCAAAGTTATTAGAGTCAAATCCTGAGTACTATACTGCTTGGAATTACAGAAAACTTGCTGTCCAACATAATTGGAATTTACCTGAAGCTGACAATAATGAGGAGTCTATTAAATCAATTCTTGATGAAGAACTCAGATTAGTAAGTTAATTTTTTAAAATAAAAATGCAATCTTTCTGTTATCTTTTTGCATAAAGATGTAATCGTTGTTTCATTTCCCTTGTTTTCTTGAAACGGGTCTAAATGGGTCGGATTGTACAGTGAGGATTCATATAGCCCAAGTTCTCAATTAGCTGGCCGGTGCTCTTTTTTTTTTTTTTTTTTTTTTTTTTTTTGTGGCCTCCCACCACTTTGCTTTTTTCTGCTAAAATCTGTGCTTAAACTGATAAATCATAGTCTGGTTTTTGGCCTACTTGTTCTTGTTGTGGTTTTATGCTGTTATTATAAAGTGCAAGAAGTAAGTTGACTAACAATGCTAAGTTATTAACTAAACCTTTATTTTTTTTGAAAAAGAAAGTTATAAACTAAGCCTAATGTGACCAATTAATCTGATTGATTAGAAACCCTGCTTATGTGAGCTTAACGTAGAGGGTCCCAAGCCGTATAAGGTGGAAGAGTATGAGCCCAATAGAGTGGAATAGATATAAAGGATTTGGCTCTCAACTAGTTTGGGAATGAATGAATACTGAACTTTCAAGTAAAGTTTAACTTACTTCTATGCTGTTGTGCTTTGGTGGTTCAAATAAGCCCAAAGCTTGTTTTTGTTAAGCTATTATTTTTCGTGTGAATTTGTCTATTATTCAGCTAAAGTTTTGTATGTTGATTAGGTAGAGAATGCATTGAAGAGGAATTTCAAGTCTTACGGAGCATGGCATCACCGTAAATGGGTGCTGAGTAAAGGGCATTCTTCTACAGACAAGGAATTGTTGCTTCTGGGTAAGTTCCAGAAGGCAGACGCCCGCAATTTCCATGCATGGAATTATAGAAGGTAATTAACTGGATTAAGCTGAATGCAAGTTACTGGACTGTTGCGTTTTGCTTAAGCACTCTTCTTTCTGTAAACCCTTTCAGGTTTGTCACTGCACTGAAGAACATACCAGATGAGAAGGAACTAGAATACACAACTGAAAGGATATGCGATAATTTCAGCAACTATTCTGCTTGGCACAACCGCAGGTATGTGGTATCTATTATAATTTCTATTTGGTTCACTCTTGTTAAGATCTATTTCCTGTGTAGTGAAATCTCTAGGTTGAGATTGTGTTAATTATGTTCAACTAGCGCAAAAGCTATAGTCACTGCCAAACCAAGAATACAGTCACACCCCTCCAAAGAAAAGTTATCGTCTCAAATGGAACAATAAGCATGTAGCATTATCCGATCTCCTTATTTAAATAGGTCATTGTCACATATTGATGCCCTTTTTATGTGTTGAGAAAGTGTGAATAGGACTCTTTTCTTTTTGGGATATTTGGAGGACAGATATACAACAAATGCATTATAGCATGGATCTAGTGAGCAAATTGATAGGAAGAATTTATTTGTTTAAGAGCCCATAGCTTCATGACTGTTATTTTTTATGGGCTCTAAGATGCAGTCGTATTTAAGAAGTAGGTAATTAAGTCCCACATTTCATTTTTTTAAGTATGGTAACATGTTTCTGTATATATAATGAGGCATCAGACAAAGTTTGTGCTGGAAACCAAAATAGGATGTTACATCAGAGCACCAAAGTAGTGAAAAACCTACATCCTTGTTCTTCTTACAAGGAACCTAGAACATCCAAAATATCCTCAGGATCATCTATGTATTCAGATTTACACCAAAAACAAAAAAGAAGAATACAATCCATCTTGATCTTCTGTAGAGTACTGCTTGCATCTTTAAAACAACTTGAGTTCCTCTCCTTCCATATTGTCCACCAAATGCTTGCTGGGACAATTTTCCATCTATCTTTGTTTCTGTTACAGTTTCCCCCTCTATTCCAACATGTCACAACTTCAGAAGTACTACAAGGCATTACCCATCTAATACCTCTGTGATTGATGAACAAATCCCATAAATGGCTAGTGATTCTGCAATGTAAAACAGATGGTTGATTGTCTCTGCATCATGTCCACACAAGTAGCATCTTGAACAAATTGGTAATCCCCTTTTTCTGAGGTTATCCCGAGTCAAAACAGCTTCTCTAACTACCAGCCAGGTAAAGCATGCCACCTTATATGGTACCTTGACTTTCCAAATGTGTTTCCATGGCGAGACTGTAATTTGAGATCCTTCCTTGTTCAAATCTTTATATGCTGAATTAGCTGTAATTTGATTACCACATGCCAGTTTAGCTCATGAGGAACTCTCATTCTGAGTTAAATTTTATATGATGCTGTTATCTGTGCTGTGTCTCTTATCTCTTTCAAAGGTTCATCTCCCCATAATGACTTGTGTACAGTGTTCTTCTTTCTCATTTGCTGAAGGAAAACGCAAAAGGATATTCTCCCAAGGACAATGTATTTACAGAAGAATACGAATTTGTGCGCAATGCTCTTTTCACAGATCCAGATGATCAAAGTGGTTGGTTTTACCATCTTTGGCTTCTTGATCAGACAGTTAAACTAGAGACATTGTTGGTTTCTTCATGGCCACCTCATGGCTGTAATCTTTCCTTACCCGTGGATGCTTCGTTTGGAGATTGCTCTTTCTCACCCTTTATCAGTCTTCAATCTAATACTAGAACACTTCCGCTCATCCTCTATTTCAGTGAAGCTGTTGAAAATATATGCTCATCTACATTAGAAGTTGAATGTGAAAATATCGTGAGTAATGAGCTCGTTTGGAGATCACTCTCAGGAGAAGAAACTGCGTCTGCCCAGGCGTGGTTGACATATCTTAATTTTCCAGAGGAACATGCACATTCTTTAAAGGCTTACCAAGTAAAGGTTAGCCTTGCTCGTTCTCAAGGCATTTTCTCTTCAACTGGCGTTCATCGTGGAAATTCTTCTCATATTGCATTTACAGTGTCTATACCACCTTATCATTCAGAACATGTTGACTTGAAAAATGAAGAGAAGATCTTTTGGAGTGAGGAAAGTTTCTGTACTCATGAAGCACAGTTTCTTGAGTCAGTTCTGGCTAACTTGTTCCATATAGAAAGAACCAAGGTAGACGAAAAAGTGGTGGACTATCAGTGGAATATTATGACTGTCGATAATGAGATAGCACACTATAGGGAGTTGTTGGCAACAATGAACTGGTAGGCAAATCTGTTTACAAGCTGAGTATATCAATCTGCGGCAGCGTTATTTTCCATCTTATCCTTCTCTTATTAGTTCTTTGTCTGTTTCAGTAAAATTGGGAAGCTGACACTTGCAAGACTGCTGATGGCGCATAACACTTTAATGTCATATACTTGCACTAGTCATAGAAATGTTAGCCACCATGCAGAAATTCTTCAGCTATATGATGATTTAAAGAAAATGGACCCAGCACATTTCCACTACTACCAGGATGAGTACAATCTAGTACTTCTGAAACAGGTATCTGTTCTGTTGTATTTTCCTCGCACCTAGTTTTCTAATGGATAGATCATTATAAGTTTAATTCTTTCTGTTATATGAACATATCCTTTGCAAGCCCAACTCGTTTAATATGGTTTTTATCTTTTGATAATTTGGAAAAACTAATGCCAAAAAGAAATTGGAGACCTTGTGGTTTATTTCTCCCACAAATGCCCGCAACAACTTGTATTTTCGAAACTTGAATCCTTGTATAGGTATTAAAAATTTCTAAAAAGAAAACCAATGTAAGTAGTTTTTAGTTGGTATTTGATTTATTTCGTGTTCAGATCGACATTTTGTTGATCCATTTCTTGGGCAAAGTCTCTGCTCTGTCTATTTGAACCAATTCGAAGGTAATTGATAGTGTGGACGAAAGTGCCATTCCTCTTTATGGGTCCTCAGAGAACTCGAAAAGACAGTTAGACATCTTTGTTCCACTTATTTCTTAGTGTTCTGTTTTATCTCTCTTTATTGGTTCTTATTCATCTGGTAATGTGGAAATAATGATTTATCTCTCTCTCTCTCTCTCTCTCTCTCTCTCTCTCTCTTGCTCTCTCTCTTCCCCTGTAGCTTTAACGTTTTGTGATATGCTATTGAATCTTACCTAGAATTGCACAAGCTTAATCATCTAATGTTGCAGATAATCTCCAATCAAGAATTGTTGCTAAAGCACTGCTGTAAATATAGGGATCCTTCTTCTCCAAAAATCAATAATTTCTGTCTGCGGCTTAATGATCTCTCACTTTCACGTATTGGGTCTATGGAGCAACTTTTGTGGGTTCAAGTCTTAGATCTCAGCAACAACCAAATTCAGTCACTTGAAGGTAATTTCCCTAGCTCTTTCTATTATCTTTTTCTTGCTAACTCAAGTTCTCTGAAACAAAGTGGCTTCATAGAGCTTAGATAGCATTTGCTTTGTCAACTTATTGAAATGTACACTAAAAAGATGTCTTTTCCTCTCTCTCTCTCTGATTAAGAAATTCTTTTGTTGAAACAAAATGTTGCACAACCATGATCCAGGAGAAAAAGAAAAAAAGGGAAAAGAAATCTTGTTTATGCCCCAGGGAAAGGGAGATTGTGTTGTATACGGTCTAGTTAGTTTGATAATTTTCTGATGCAACTTCTGAAATTGTAATAATTAAACTTGTATACCTTACAACACATCCACGCCATCCGCCACTGTAACCGTTACCCAGTTTTCTTTTTGTGAGTGGTGAAGGAGGTCCGGCCAGCAAAAGAACTCTAAAAGATGCCGGAATATTTTATTTTCTCCTTTATATGCAACGGCGCCCATGGATTGTGAAAACGCAACGGATATCTATGAGGACAAGATGGTGGGTCTTTTTCAAGTCTAAGTTTGGCGTAAAGGAACAAGGAAAGAAGAAAAGAAGAACTATGTTTACCTCTTAGCAAAAACAGCGCTTCTCTTCTAATTTTTTCATGGATGATAAGAGATCTATCTGTGATTTTTATTATTTATGCTTTTTCATAGGAAAATACAATTTATTAACATGGAAGAATTGTATCCATGAATCTTAAAGCTAACAAACTAATCAAGTACATAAAATTCTCCATTGTTTCAGAAGATTATCATGAAAAAGGCCTTTATCTAAACCACATATAGGACAAGAGATTTACCTCTTATCCGTGTCTTTTGTTCATCCTTCTTATTAGCTGTTCAGTTATATGTGGCGATCTAAGAAATTTTTGTTGCATTTTAAACCATCTTAATGTATCGAATCTTCCATGATAGTGAGAGGGATATTAGATGTATCGAATCTTTCCTATGTCACATGTTTGGTGTAAAGAGAGAATATCAGGAACTGTAGATTATTGGGATAACTTGATAGATAAGAGTGATTAACCCACTCTCATGTTGGTGTGATATCGACGATATGATCTTGACTTAAAAAAAACATCTCGATTTCTTATGAACTTCGTAACTGGGTGAAATGAAAAGAAACTTAAATAGATAGAAGATAACTTATTGAAAAGCATCCATCTTACTGATGGTTTGATTAATAAATTGACAAGCCAAAGTTAGTCATATTTAGATCTTTAGTGTCTGTCACTATTTCCTCTGGAAGAAATGTGTGAAATTATGTCATTCAAATGCATGGAAGTCAATAAATGTAGTTATCCAATAAAGTTGATCATGTGATAAAAAGTTGCAATGTCTCCGGCATTTCTCGTCTAAGTTGCTCGGACACGGGTGCGGATCTAGAGGTCGGATCTCTCAAGATGTAAATTTTAAGATTCGGGGATAGAGATCCTAGTACGGATACAGGTAGGGATCCGGCTAAAATAATTTTAAAAAATAAAAATCTCTCTAATTTATAAGAAATTTTGTGGAATACGTATAGCTTGTAAAGTGTGGATTTCCTTTTTATTCTCAAGTTGTAGATAAGTAAAAGATTGATTTCCTAGATAAGATATGCTATTTTCTTCAAATTTACCCTAGTTTTAGTTCTGATTTCAGTAATCAAATTGTATCTCGTCTCGAACTTTTCTGTCTGTCGTGGTCAAAGCTAAGTTGCTTGGACACGGGTGCAGATCTAGAGGTCGGATCTTTCAAGATGTAAATTTAAGATTCGGGGATACAGATTCTAGTACGAATACGGGTGTAGGGATCCGGCTAAAAATAATTTAAAAAAATAAAAATCTCTCTATGAGAAATTTTGTGGAATACATATAGCTTGTAAAGTGTGCATTTTCTTTTTATTCTCAAGTTGTAGATAAGTAAAAGATTGATTTTCTAGATAAGATATGCTATTTTCTTCAAATTTACCCTAGTTTTAGTTCTGATTTCGGTAATCAAATTGTATTTCGTCTCGAACTTTTCTGTCCGTCGTGGTCAAAGTACCCAAAATTGTTTGACCAGATCCGGTACGGATTCCATACCCACACCCATACTAGTGTCGTGTCGACACGGGTACGGCACCTAAACTGCCATGTCGGAGCAACTTAGTTTCTTGTGTAAGTGCTCGATTATGTTTCTGAATCATGTGGAATTGCTAGAATGACACTGCATAAGCTGACTGCAAAGGATTGCTTCTATTCTATAATATTAAATTCTTTGCCTTAGGATCATGCTTTTCTTCAATAATGTGGCCTTAGATTTTTTTATTTATTTTTGAGCATCGTCTAATAGGGCGTTTTTTGATGCTTAAACCAAGAAGCTTGCTTCATTCTATTATTCTCTAAATTGATGCAGGCTTGGAGGTGATGCAACTTCTCTCCTGTTTGAATGCTAGTCACAATAAACTCTGCAGTTTTACTGCTTTGGAGCCTTTGAGACTGCTAAGATCACTGAAAGTCTTGGATATCTCTTACAACGAGATTGGTGCGCACTCTATTGACACGAGGAGGTATTTGTGCTCTTCTCCCCTGAACCATAAAAGTGGAGGTGACTGGAAAACTGAGGAATCTGAGATGCCTTGGGCTGAGGTGACTGACCATTGGGAAGCTTATACTATTTTTAAAGACTTGAACTTGATACAATTAGATGTTAACGGAAATGCAGTTTCCGACGAAAAGATAAAATTACTTTTGATTAAGTTATTACCGTCACTACGGTGGCTTGATGGTGAAAAGGTTGCAGAAAGTTAAATCTCAGTCGCTGTTACAAGTTTATCTACAGAATGGATAAGGGTAATCTTTTGTTGCTACTCTTATGAATTAAAGATACTTGATGCATAGAAAGTTTTTGTACCATGTATTTGTTGCAAGACTTGCTTATACTATTCTGGGTTTTTTCAGATGATTTATAATTTATTACTTTGGCACTTGAGTAGAGGTTTTATTTTCTGAATATTAAAGTGAGTTTTCTACCAGATTAATCCAATATGAACAAATTTCTACCATTATGTCTTTCAAACAGATATAAATAAGCATACAGGGACAAAGTTATACACACTTAGTCACTGATCTATGCTTCATAAATTTGATGCTCTTGCAACCAAATTCAATGTGGTTGCATAAATCTAAGCTCTAGAAAATTGTATGCCAGAGACAGATGAGATGAGGCTCTCAGATGCCTAGTAATCTGAACTCGTGCAAGTACGTTACAGCAACAGCGGAAATACTATAACTGGCCTCTTTTAGTTGATTTTGGCATATGGAGTTTGGAAACTCTCTAAATAGAAGTCAAGGAACAGGACTGTGTGAGATTTTCATCTCTAATACTATTAGAAGGTATAAAAGACAGATTCAAGAATACAATGAAGAGACTGATCGAGTTAACGCAACCCAGAAAAGCAGTGACATAATAGTGGAAGGTGCAGTTTGAATTGGCGCAAGGTGTCTGAATTGCAACATCTTGGCAATGCAGAAATTCAGATATTTGATCGTTAAGGTAACGATGCTTCCGGACAGCCATGGAAGTAGCTCATTTTCAGCTTCATCTCTTAGTATTTGCCTTGTCTTGTCAGGAAGCCAATTCAAGTATAATACAGCAGTAGTATTTAGTAGCACTGCTAGAATTATGCAGTACCAAGTTGCCCTGTTCATGTTGATCAGTAACTGGAATTCTTGTAGTTTTGATTCCATTCTTGGACCTGTTTTCAGTTTCTCCTTTTTTGTCTGTGATTTGAAGGATTTGAATCAGCTTATATCAGAAAATGGTGGACAGTAGACTATTTATAGGGTATTGAGACAAGTGTTGAGCAAGTTAAACTCTTGGTCAACACTCCCATGATCAATATTGTAAAGATTCTCCATTTTTTTAATCCTTTCCATCTTAATCTACGTTAAATATATTCTTCATCTTGTTGATGGGGTTGAAAGTGGGTCAGGAACTCAGGATTAAGGTTAACTGGCTTAATTGCTAATTAAGCAATTAATTAATCTACTCCCTCGGGTAGGGGTAAAGTATGCGTACACAATACCCTTTCCAGATTCCACTAGTGGTATTTCACTGGTCGTTGTCTTTGGATTAATTGCTAGTGAAGCTCTTATTCAAAATCTAATTTTTTTTTTGTAGTATATGATTATTTGGTCGTTTTCCATTAGAAGGGGCTTGCTGAAGTTATTTTTCTTTTAAATACGTATCTTAGCTTTTAACTTTATATACTAGTTCTAAAAAAAGCCATGTAATTGAAACAACTAGCGACCTAAAACTACTACAATATGTGATCCCACAAGCGTGATCTGCGGAGGATGGGATATATATAGACTTAAACACTCTACCTTATATTAGGTAGAGAGGTTATTCCCAATAGACCCTCGACTCAAGAAAAACATTTTCAAAACAAATTTGAAAAATACAAAAAAAAATGACAACAAAAATTAATAAAGATAACCAACATAAAAGAAACAATTTTAGTATAAAATTGAAGAATAAGATAATAGCAGAATAATAATAATGACAATATTGATAAGGAGACAAGTGAGGCTTGCTCAGTTGGTAAAAGCACCTCCACTTACGACCGTTAGGTCCTGGGATTCGAGTCACGCTAGAGGAAAAGTGTGGAAACACTATAGATCTTCTTAATTTGGAAGGGGTTTAAAAAAAAAAGACAATATTGATAAGGAGAAGAGAGAGCAGATAGTAAAATTAAAATAAGGACTGGCTATTAAGTTTCTACCCTAATCCTCGACTTTCATGATTAAGGTCTAAGGTCACATCCTGAATGAATTGGAGATCAATATTATATTATAAACCGCCTATTAAACCAGCAAATTACCCATAAACGGTCAAAAATAAAGAAGAACCCCCAATTTAATTCAAGTTGCAACTCATTTACGTGGCGGACTCGATCTATTGAGCAGTGCCTTGGAGAGCACGGGGTCAACGCTATTGGAGTTAAAGTTATCTCAAACTTGGGGAAGACTTTTTCAACCTCTGACCTGTAAATACTCTTCAGAAATGATTTCTGCCCTAATTAATTAAAATTAAGCCAGCACCTTTTTTTAATGGGACAACAACACCAACAACAACAATAATTCCCGGTGAATCACTAATGGGGTATGGGGAGGGTAGTGTGTATGCAGACCTTACCCCTACCCCAAAAAGTAGAGAGGCTATTTTCGATAGACTCTCGGCTCAAAAAGATGAAAAGAGACAATATATCAGTATCATCCATAAAAACCTTAGAAAGAAATAACAGCATCACAAGAACATAGGTGAAAAGTAAAACAATAACCAGTAGATAAAGCCTTGCACTAAGAGGAACGAAAGAGTAATGTAAACTCAACATTAACCACTTACATTGTAAGACAAAACCCTAACGAAAGAGCAATGTGAAATATGCACAACTACCTCCTAACTTACGACTCTAATGAGAATCTTACATAAATATTCCAAATAAGTTCCAACTTACCAACCTCTAGCCATTAATCATAGACTTATCAAAACTAGTCAAGCACATATAAAAATTAAAAACCCAAATAAATAAGGTTCTTTCTCTCCAAGAATCACACAAAGATCTTCGTTCATATTTTTACGAGTGATTAACAATATTAAATGCAAGACGGAAAGAAAATTTCATGGATGAGGTAGCAAACAAGGTGATTAAATACATATATATATATATATATATAAATCTAAGCAAAAAATGATTTGGAATTCACTGAAAACATATAGATGAGTCAATATAAAATTTTTGAGGAAGATTAGAGGTGATTTGGACTGATTTGTGATATCAAAATTCGTAGTTAAAATCGAGTTCAAAAACTTCTTCTGCGACAAATGTATCAAACATGTATTACGCATGTATATATCACAAACACAAGTATACATGGATATACATGTGATACACATTTGATACAAATATGATATATATGTGATACACAAATGATACACAATATGATACACATCATTTTTTTCATGTTTCATCTTCTACTTTGAATTTCAATTCAAACCACCTCAAAACTCCGCCAAATAATTTCAAAACTGAGATTCAAACTCCTTAAGATGTACCTAATCTATTCTGTTAGCACTCACTCAAAAGAAAGCAAAGACTTGACTTTTTTTTGTTACAAATAGCTAATTGGCTAATATTGATAATATTTGGCTAATATTAGTAATATTTAATGAATTGGCTAATTATTGTAATAAGCTACTTATAAATGGACATAGCTGACAACTTCCATTTTTTAATTAAAAAAAAGCGCATCTTTTTATTTTTATTATACTTTTAGTGAGGTAACTAATCATACTCTATAATATATATGGGTGTCAACGGTTCGGTTCGGCCGGTTATTTTATAAAATTTATAATGCTAATTTTTCGGTTATTCTATTATGTATAACTAAAATTATACTTTTTGAAACCGTCCAAATCATGTTGGTTACTCTTCGTTATCGATATCGGTATGGTTCGGTTAATTTGTTAATATCATATAAATGTTACTAGTAGAAGTAGAATGCAATAATATACGTACTTTTATAGGACTTCATAAAACTCTCTAAATATTTTTACTGTTTAAAGGTTGATGAATTAAGAAAACATGAAATGGCTAAAGTATATATCCATCAGCTATTCTATAGTAGTGTAGAAGAAACTAAGCAAAGACAAAAAAAATATAAATCACACAAGCGGAAAGATATTAGCCAAGCTAGGACAAGAATAAAGTCTATAAAAGATTAAATATTCAAAAAAATAAATATAAATCATACGAAAAGAAACATATTCAATACATTGTAGTTTGTTGCTCATAACCGCTAGAATACCTTGTGACTTGCTAGTGAATATGCTGGAAATAATTTAATTTCAATAGGAGAAACATAATAGGTTTGTGAATTAGAGATTTTGAGTTTAATTACTTGTTGGCTTGTAACCGTTTTCATAATTCTAAGGCCCACTGAAAAATTAATGTATTATTATTTTTTAAACTTAATATATAAATATATTTTTCACATGTAAATTTATTCGGTGTGGTTCGGCATTTTTTTGATTTATTCTAATAAAATAAAAAAACTTACCCTAATTATCGGTATGGTTATAGGTATATATAAAAATCTATGATTTTATTAAAAGAAACCTGAAAGTCGATTCGTCGGTTTAGTCGATTTTTAAATATTTACTGAGACCCTAATAATGTCATGTTGTCCACCTCAATGTAAACGTCCTTGTGATAAGAAATCGGACTACAATTATTGTGATTATAACTTATATGTGGCAACATTACTCCCAAACACTAAGAAAAAATCAAATTACGGAGCTCTTATATTATCTTAATTTGGTTCAGAAATAATCTTAATCATTACGGTAGTGATAATTGATCTGTCTCGATTATGATAAAGTGCGTTTAACATGACATTTTCATGATTTAATAAGATCGAAACAAATTTAAGTATGCTTTTGAACTATGAATTTAAAAAGGAAAAAGGTCCAAATATCTTTCGAAAATGATCTAAGAATACCTCTCGTTATACTATTGGGTTATCTATACCCCTGCAGTCATACTTTGGGTTCAAATATACCCTTCATTTAAACAGAGGGACACGTGTCATCATCTTATTGGCCAATTTTAAATATCTTCTAATTAATTAAAAATACCCATTATCCATACCCGAAAAACAATTTTATAAAGCAATTTTTTTTTTGTAAAAACTGGAAAAAACTAAATTTTTTTTTACTAAAAACTAAAAAAAACGAAAATATTTATTTTTTCATTTTTTACAAAAAAATCTGCTTCAAAACAAATTGAAAAATATTTTTTAAAACAATATTTTTGTAAAAACTGGATAACAAAACTGAAAAATAATTTTCTAAAGCAATTAAAAACTGAAAAAAATTAATTTTTTTAAACTAAAAACAAAAAAAAAATATATTTGTTGTTTCAGTTTTTACAAAAATATTGCTTTATTAAAATTGATTTTCAGTTTTTGTTTTTTAGTTTTTACAAAACAAATTGCTTTAGAGATTATTTTTCAGTTTTTTTCAAAGCAATATTTTTTTAAAAACTGGAAAAAAATATTTTCGATTTTTTCAGTTTTTAGTAAAAAGAAATCAGTTTTTTTCCTGTTTTTAATTACTTTAGAAAATTATTTTTCTGTTTTTACAAAAACATTGTTTTAGAAAGTTTTTTTTCAGCTTTTTTTTAAGCAGATTTTTTTGTAAAAAATGAAAAACAAAATATTTTCGTTTTTTTCAATTTTTAGTAAAAACAAATCAGTTTTTTCCAGTTTTTATAAAAAAAATAATTGCTTTATAAAATTATTTTTCGGGTATGAATAATGGGTATTTTTAATTAATTAGGAGATATTTAGAATTGGCCAATAAGACAATGGCAAGTGTCCCTCCGTTTAAATGAGGGGTATATTTGAACCCAAAGTATGACTGCAGGGGTATAGATAGCCCAATAGTATAACGAGAGGTATTTTTAGACCATTTTCGAAAATACAAGGGTATATTTGGACCTTCTCCGATTTAAAAATAGACGAGAAACTTTCAATTTTTTAAATAATGTCAATTATCTAAATTAACCGACTAGCAATGTTGATATCTCTTCCTTTAGCTACCAAGATGTTTCGGTCTTAATAAAGAGAACATTTTATACCAATCTTAACCAAAGTTCGTAAATTGAAGGATCTTCTCGAGCTTGGGAACTATTTCTTAAGTTTCAAGCATTCCAACTTTGCCAAACGCGTCCAAATTACCCTTAAAATATTCTGGATCAACCAAACTTTGCATACTAGTCTCAATAAACTAAATGAACCTATCCAAAGTTTCTAAACCGCAATAGGAAATCTGATAACATCGAAGTCAACTTCCCGTCAAACTTATGAACTCTTCACCATGTTATGAATTTTAAAAAAATATGCAAGCAGCAATAAGGTTGAAAATAGGATTGAAAAACTGTCTCTAAAATTTTATTAATCATAGGGTTTTAAATAGCCAAATAAATAAAGTAGTAGACTCCTCCTACAACTAAATTATTAAACTCTTACTATAATTAAAATTCTGAATCTTCTAGCAGACTCCTCCTAAAACTAAACAACTAATTATTCTAGAAAACAGTAGCAGTAACATATGCAAAATCCAACACTCCTCCTTGCTTCTGTTGTTGTAGTAACATATGCAAAATCCAACACTCCTCCTTGCTTCTGTTGCTGCAGTCTAAAGAAGGTCATCCTCAATTCCTTCTTCTGCTATTAGTGCTTGTGCATGAGTATCTTTGAACTTGCACACTTTTGTAACATGACCTTTTTGTTTGCAATTTCCACATAATGCATCAGGTCTCCACCAACAAAATTTTTCTAAGTGTGTTTTGTTTTTGCAATATTTACAATAAGGATAATCGACTTTTTCTTTTTGGTGTTTCACATAAAAAATACCCTCAGTAACTTTGTCTTGTCTGAAGGCCCTTCTTTGCTCTTGTGCTTGAAAGAACACTTATTAATTCTGCAACAAAGATGATAGAGAGATCTTTAGATTCTTCCAGGGAGGAAATTTTGGATTCAAATCTCCCGGGAATTGTCACAAGAATTTTTTCAACTATCCTGTCATCTTTGAAATCCTCGCCAAGTAACCTGATTTTATTGACAATTAAAGAAATTCGGTCAGAATACTTAGTGATGGTCTCATCATCTTGCATTCTAAGAGATTCAAAATCTCTTTTCAAATTTAAAATCTAATTTTGTCTGCCTTGTTCACTTCCTTGATACTCCTGTTTGAATGTTTCTCAAGCTTCTTTTGCTGTCTCATATGCAATGATTATAGAGAAGATTGAATCTGCAACTGAATTTTGAATTATAGTTTTGGATTTGTATTTTTTGATTTTCTCATCTGAATGAGCTTTGATTTGGGCAAGGATAGGATTTGCAGGAAGTATTGTATAAGTTTGTCTTCCATTATAACTTCCCATAGATCATAAACTTCAAGATAAGATTTCATCTTCACTGACCAAATCTGATAGTTTTCACCAGTGAAAGTTTGTTAGTTATTCAAAGAGAGACCGCTGCTTGCCTTTGTTAAAAATTTGGTTAAAATCGGTATGGGTAAAAATGTGTATGGTTTAAAAGTGGTTGAAATTGATTATTTTTCAGCGAATTCGGAGATCCGTCAAGATCAATGGAGGATTTTAGAAAAATATGCAAGCAGCAAGAAGGTTAAAAATAGGATTGAAAAACTGTCTCTAAAATTTTATTAATCATAGGGCTTTAAATAGCCAAATAAATAAAGTAGTAGACTCCTCTTACAACTAAATTACTAAACTCTTACTATAATTAAAATTCTCAATCTCCTAGCAGACTCCTCCTAAAACTAAACAATTAATTATTCTAGAAAACAGTAACAGATGCAAAATCCAACACACCAAACACTGCAACTATCCCACAATGTGTTAATCAAAGCAAGTTGAAAGTTCATATGCCACAATAAAAGATGTCAAGAAACACAAAGTTTTCACGAAGATTTTAGAAAAGATGAAGCTTCTCCTTGCACAGTTCAATACAAGTATCAACCTTAGCATAATATGATCTGCGCTAGTTCCTACTAAGAAGAAGAGGAGCAATGACACTCCAAAATCCCACAACATAAGCAACAGCAATGCATGAGAAGAAAAAGAAGTCACTTTCACCAATTCTTTCCTTCTCCTCTTCTTCTTCTTCTTCATGCTGCTGAGGCGGCCTTGGGACCACACAATCTTTTTCCAATGGAAGTCCACAGAGTTCCTTGTTACCTCTATAACTAGATGCTGCAAAAGTGACAAATTTGTTTTCGAACGGGATTCTTCCTGTTAGAAGATTGAAAGCCAAATTTAGAGTTGACAGGGAATCAAGTTGAGCCAACCGACGAGGGATTTTTCCCCCTAGCTGGTTGTAAGAAAGATCTAAACTCTCCAGTTTCTTTAAGTTCATGAAAGATTCTGGAATATGGCCAGATAGGATGTTGTGAGAGAGGTTTAATGAATGAAGGGCTGCAAGTTCTCCCAGTTGTGATGGAATTTCACCGGTTAAACGGTTCATAGATAAATCAAGTGTAGTCATTTGAGAAAGAGGAATGCCTTCATAAGAGAGTGCATTGCCCTTGGTTGTTAGAGGAACTTTGACCCTGTAGTTAGTATATGAGGGTGATAACCACATAAAGGAATGGAGTATAACTCCAGATTCCTTTATCCACGTGGTTATGTTACCAAGACAAGAAGGTAAAACCCCCGAGAGTAAATTTGCAGACATGTCCAAAATTTGAAGCTTTTGCACCTTGCACAAAGACACTGGAATTATCCCATGAAATCGGTTTCTTGCCAAGAGAAGTATGGCCAGATGTGGAAATCGAGGAAAATAATCTGGAATATTTCCTGACAAATAATTCCCACTAATGTCCATGACCTTCAGAACAGGAAGGTTAAACATAGCATCAGGGAAGACTCCAATAAATCCATCATTTTGGAGATGCAAGTATGCAAGATTTGACATATTTGAAAATTGGGGCATAACCTCCCCATGAAAGTTGTTGTTTGAAAGAACGAAATGTGCCAATGAAGTGTTATTCTGCCTTAAAGTTGGAGAAAGTTTTCCCCACAGGAAGTTTGTCAGAAAGGTCCAGGACCTCTAACTTTGACAGATGGTCAAAAAATGAAGGAAGGATGCCTTCGAGGGCGTTATTTGACAGGTTAAGAAAGCGTAAGTCTGGAAATAACTCTAGCACGTTAGTGGGAAGTGTACGGCCCAAGCAATTATCTGATACATCAAGCATCAGAAGACTTGATGCTTGAAACTGAAAAGATGCAGGAATTCCACCATACAAATGGTTGCCTCTCAAAGACAACATAAGAAGTGTATTGTTATACAACAACCAGGACGGAACGTTTCCTTGAAGGGCATTATAGGACAAAGACAGGGACTTCAACTTGTGTTGTTTGGAAATGAAAGTTGGAATTACGTGGCCATATTTCTGGTTTAGTCTAGTATTTCGTAGGTTAAGGGATACAAGTTGAAAAGATGGGACCCAAGATGGAGTTTCAGTGTCAACTATGAACTCGTTATTTGAAAGATCAATGGATTCAAGGTTGGAGAGGTTAGCAAAATTTGAAAACAGGAGAAGTCCATCAAACCGATTGTCTGAAAGAAGGAGGGTCTTGAGTGAAGTCAGGTTGCTGAATATGGAAGAAGAAACACTCCCCTCAAAATGATTAAAAGAAAGATCTAAAGAAACCAAGGAACTCATTCCACCAAAGCATGGATCAAATCCACCTTGGATAAGGTTATCCTGGAGATTTAACACCTGCAGGTTCTTAAGTTTACAGATTCCTGAAAAGCGTAACAAGTAGTTAATATCCAGCAGAAATTTAACATTGTTATGCAGAAAATATATACAGCTTTTGGCTCAAATTCTGGCATGACAGAAGTAAATTTCAGCAAGTTGTCCGAATAAATTCGAAGGAAGACACCAACTATTAGCTTTGTCCAATGTTCTTCATCTGCTTTAGAGCAAAAGACAGATTAATTACATTGCTGATCATCACATTCGTTTTTGCTTTTTTTCCTTTTTTGAGAAAAAGGGGGAGGGGAGCTGCGTACCGAAAAAAGAAAAAAAAGAGCAGGTCAGTTTTCAACTCAACAATTAGGTTTTTACCTTCAACCTTTTGAATCAGGAAATTGAACTAAAATTTGTAGATATTCTCCACCAAAAAAGGATTGTCAGTCACACTAAAGATGCAAAATGCTGATTCTACCTTTTGGGCAGACTGTGAGTTTGAGACCATAACTTCACTAGACAAAAAGGCACATCAGAAATTAAAACGCTCTTTGCAGGAAAGACGGTAAAAATAAAATAAGATATCAACAAGCAAGTGTTGACACTAGAGACTAATATGTCCCAATTAAGTTGATTAAATTTAGGGCATGCTAGAAAATGAAAATAACTGCAATTCTGATGATTCAAACAGAATATTGGAAGAGTCATCGACGAGAAATAGTTTTTTTCGCAAGGGAAAATATGAATAGCATATTTAGAAAAACAATAACACTAGGCTTTCTTTATCAAAAAAAATATATATTACTAGGCTTTTCAAATCCAAAAGTTGCCCTAGCAATGGATGAATAACAAAAAAAAGGCAGCCCGGTGCACTAAGCTCCCGCTATGCGCAGGGTCCGGGGCAGGGCCGGACCACAAAGGTCTATTGTACGCAGCCTTACCCTGCATTTCTGTAACAACAAATGGAAAGCATAGTAGAAACTTTTGTCAAAGATTTTTTCATCCTAGAACCAGGCGTAGAACATTTCTATTGAGGACTTCATCAGAAGATCATAAACCTGAGAGAGAACCATGTCTCATAGATAGAAAAGACATGCTAGTGCTGATGCCTGCTCAGTGAATTCCATTTCATCATTGAACTGAAAGTAAAGGAATTGAAAGAAATTTTAAAAATTTCAGCATTACCCGAAACGAAACCAGGTGAACCCCCGATATTATTATGTGAAATATCTAAACTTTCGAGCAGCGAGTGCTTTTCAAATAGGCAGGATGGTACGCTTCCATCATCCAGAAAATTATAACTCAAATCCAACCTTTTGAGATTCCGCAGTCTACATAAAGCTGCAAGAAATACATGAAGCAACATGAGGGTTGTTTTTTGTCAAGTTCACTAGTCAGAGTAAAAACCGAGTTTCGTATTTACAGGAAAATTCTGAAAACTCGACACAGTGGATAAATTATTTGTGCCTTACTATCCTTATGCTGGCATGAAGATTGTTAGGGAAAACTGGAAAACCTACAGGCTAGAGCTTCACTCGTACCATGTTTATTATGTATTTTTATCGAAATAAAACTCTCAGGCTTATGGAAGGTTCCATAACTCACTCCTGTCCAGTTTAAGAAATTTGAGTAGGTCAAGGTTGGAGTTAGCCAACCAAGAAAATAGTTCATCTTTGCAGTCTTCATCTGATGACATAAGGTCCCTTCCTGGTGACATGTATTTCATTTATACAAGCTATATTTAGTTAATGAGAATCATGCCATTGACTTCAACATTGTAGTCAGTTCATATGTGTTTCATACACACTCACTAAGAAATGCTTTAACAAAAGAGTATTGAGCGAGAAGATGGCAGTTGAGGAGAGTAGATGAGAGGGTCTACCACCAATTAACAGTTTGTTCAGCTGGAGGCAACCATTTATATATGGAAATACTAATAGTAAAAGATGTTCTCACAATAGGAAAATGAAAATGATAATGACAATTTGAAGAAGATCAGCGCATGTAACAACAGAAAATATCCAACTTAAGTTACCTGATAGAATGTGATTGGAATTCTTGAGGTTATTCCTGGACAAGTCAAGGCTTTCAAGGTATGGAAGATCATTGAATAGGCAATGTGGTATACTATCATCTATAAGATTATTGCTGCTTAGATCTAATCTCCGGATATTCTTTAGTCCACACACTGATACATGATATCATTAAAATGTGTTACAACGAAACCAAGGTAAAAACTTTGATGCACCATCTACGATTGATTAAGAATCTACAACTGAGAAAAACAAACCTCTGAGAAGTGGTAAAGAGGAACTAGGATAAACCCCTGAAAGGTATAGCTGTTCTAGTGATGCGAGGCTACATACTTGAAAATGAGGCAGAGCATCACCATTTAAAGGGTTGAAACTTAGATCCAATTCCTTCAGGTTGTGCAATTTGCATAATGCTGCAAGTTTAAGTTGTTAAAAAGTGATACTCCAACATGCGAAGAAGTGAAGAAAGGAGATAAGGGCCATGGGTGCAGAATCTTTTAAAAAAAAAACAAATCTTAGAGATCTAAGGATTCAAGGGGAAGTGCTCATTGTGTTAAACAAATATTAACAGCAGTAAGCGTTTGTACTAATTATACTACTACATATTGAAGGAGATAAGTTGTAGCATCATGTAGGTTTGATCAAATGAAACATGAATACAGGTAATGAAAGAACTTCTTGATGAAAAGAATAGATTCTGGCATGATCCAGTTGCCAATAGCATTGCCAGATACATACAGAGACTGAAGATGCGTGAAACGAGTCAACAAGGTTGCATTAGGATGCCATATTCCAAGTCCAAGTTGTCTTTTGTTGGTAAGAAAAATATCAAGAACACATGAATCATTGTTCGGATCACTGCCACAAAAAATACCAGCCCATGCACAATAGTCTTCTCCAATCCATTCATTAATTAAAGCAGAGCCATTGGGATAGTTAAGGGAGTCCCTCAGCTCTAAAAGTGCCCTTTTTTCCTCTTCCACTAATTTACCATTGCAACCCATGAAATTCAAGCACAACAGCATCCAGCATGTCCCTAGAAGCTGAAGCATAGGACACAACCCCCCAGCCATAGTACTGTCAATAATTTTCTATTCAGCAATGATTTACCGGCTAATTCCCTCTGTTAAATGAAGGCATTACAGCCATGAGTCAACACCAAATTAAAGATTTTGAATTCACCTTAGGTACTTCATCAGTAATTGAGCATTAGCTGTTTTCCAAGATATAACTGTGACCTTTATATTTGGACTTTAAGATATACCAAGTTTTTCAAAGATATAACAGTGACCTTTATATTTGGACTTTAAGATATACCAAGTTTTTCAAAGATATAACAGTGACCTTTTTAGACTTTTAGATTTGCCAAGTCAAGCAGGTCAATCCTTACTTTGTCCAACAAATGCTGCCGCCTTTGTGGAACCTTGGTGCTGACTTCTAAAATCAACTATTCATATCATCTTTTGTTTTAAGGTTCAGTAAAGGGCGGTGTCAACATGTGCGCACCTTCACTATTCCACCAAATATATCTATCCTCCCATCAATATAGGTACCACTTAAGCACATGAAGAAAAAAAATCAATTACCATTCTCATCACAATCATAAATCTAAATAATGTTTATGATCATCTTACATAGGCTGCCAAAACTATTTGCCTAATAAAAATTAATTAGCTAGGCAGGCTGCAGCAACGTAAAGAACTAAGTTAATCACCTTTAATTTGTGCCTACAGGCTCAATGGTCAAAATATATTATATTCATCATATTAATTGTTCACTTGTTGGTTTGCTCTGCGTATCTCTGACACATAAACTCTGAAATTCAATCATGGTGAAATTAATTCTCCAAATTCAAGGTAAACCAATTGCCTTTATATTGAACAATGCTAGAACAAATTTCTCTAATTTTTTCCTTTATTTATTATTTTTCCCAACAAAAAAAAAACACAACTAGAGTTCAAGACTCGGAATTCAATCGGTCAAGTGCCTCTCGAGCAGGAGCAAAATTGGGCTGAACTTTTAGGGCTTTTTCATAAACCTCTTGGGCCTCCTCTGTTAAGCCTTTTTTCTCGTAACAATCGCCCAACAAACAAAAAGCCTTAACATTATCGCCCTTCAAACGAACTGACTCAGTCAAATCTTCAATGACCGAGTCAACTTGTCCGCGTCGACTCACAGCGAGTCTCAACTCAGCTCGCTTAAACAAAGCATCCGCTTTCTCCGGCTCCGACAGCGACTTCACGGCGAGCGGCGAAAGCGCGATATCAATCGAATCAAGAGCTGACGTCTTAAAACCCTGCAAATCGAGAGCTAAAGCCTTGAGTATGTGAGCCGCGGCATCTCTCGGGTCTAAAGCGATGGCTAAGTCAGCTTCGGCTTCAGCAGATTTGGCAAGCGAAGCGGCGGCGGATCGATCCTTGGCGGCGGATGATTTGGCTTGAGAAAGAAGCTGAGCTCCTTGGACGAAATGGCGCTTCGCTTGCATATCGGCTCGGTTTCGTAGGCGAAGCTTCGAGAAGAATTTCTGGGGAATATTGTACATGAAAAGGAACATGAAAACTGTAGCTAGAATTAGGACTGCTTGAAGTAGAAGATCACGCCACATGTTGCTGTCGGAGAAATCCATAGGATTCGGTTTTGTGGGTTTCTGAGGATTTTTCGATCGGGTCTTAAAAGGTTGTAAGTAGCTTTTGCTGGCCGAAGTTGTTAGGTGTAGTATCTTTGGCTTTAGTATTTGTACCTGTAGCTGCTTTTAGCAAAATTTCTTTTTTATTTTGGACACGAGTGGGAGCTACAGTGGTGAGTTCGAGTAACCCTCAAGCGGGGAGTTATGGGAAAGAGAAAATCGAGAATCTATCGGAAATAGTTTTTTTATTTCGGGTAGGGGTAAGTTTCTGCGTACACATTACACTATCTTATTCAGATTTCACTAGTGAAATTATACTATGTGATTGTTGTTGTTACTGTATTTTGTGCCGGTAAAAAATACAGGTTATGCACTAAGCTCGATCATGGGTAGGTCCGGAAATGGTCAGATCACAAAGATTTATTGCACGCAAATTTATGCTTCATTTCTGTAAGAGACTATTACCATGACTCGAACTCATGACCTACTGCTTATAATGCACTAAGCTTTGGCTATCTGTAGGTCCGGAGAAAGGTCAGACCATAAAGATACATTGTACATAAATTTATGCTGTATTTATGCAAAAAACTATTTTCGCGGCTCGAAGTTATCATTTCCTAAGCACTCCCGCTATTTTGTGCTTGTAGTCCCAAAAAAAGTAAGTTTTTATAATATTAAACTGATGCGAAGGAGCTAAATATCGTGAAGAGTATTCTAATACGGAAATCTGCTTTTGAGGAGGTGAATATGCTGTATTTTGACGTTAATCTCCTATCCAAAATACATTCAAGTTGTGAGTTATGACATAATTCACTAGCATTTTTTGTCGTATTGAATGATGAACGGAAAATTCTTGAAGTGGCTTTAAGGTGAGGAGAATTTAGGAATGTCCACAATGGAAGATCTTACCGAATTAGTGTCGTACCTTGTACCATATCCGGTGCGAGCTCGAATAGATGAGCATTTGAAGTATCAATGGATTATAAGCAGTCCATAAAAACATAAACAATGATCAAAGAGAACCAAAAAAATAACTGAATCACTTCTATATTATTAGAGTGGCTTACAATTTTGCTACATCAACTTTTCTCAATAATGCTTTCCTTGGATACAACATAATTTCGACTTATACGGGAATACTATTCCCGATTACTACATAGTTACAGCCTCTAATTATTTCACATTTGGAAGGTGGACAATGGCTGACATAGACCAGGGTTCTACAATAAAACAACTTAAGAAATGCCTCTTTCCCCAAGAACGGACAGAGACTTGTTTATCATTCAAAAAGTTAGATGGCCAACATATTTGCAATTGTTGGGCATAAACCTTGTGAGGTTTTGCAAACTTTGTCAGTATTAAGTAGTTATATATCTAGGAACTCTGATGAATTTATTCTCCAAAATAAGTGGAGAGTATCTAACTCTTAACATTTCCTCCCATCTGAATCAACTGTAGTGGAGACTTAAGTAGTTTCTTTAATGTATCCACAATGCTCGCAAAGGAAGGGCGTTGTGCTGGGTCACTGCGAGGGAATGTAAGATTATGAGAAAGTGTACAAAATTGACGGGAAATTAAAGAAAACAAGTCATACGTTCTTTAACATGATTGATAATTTGATTAATGGGCGGGTTAGGTCAAACTTGGGATAGTCAAACGGGTTAAATTAATAAATAGGTCATATCCAACCCCACCTATAAAAAAAAACTATGAAAGCTAATGTATATTTCTTAATTTATGAGCCCAAGTTCTTCCACATTTGCACAATCAATTCGATTTTTATGTTGGAATTGGGTTGCATTTTGACCCGTTTGGTTACACCATGTTGACCCGTTTCGAACCAATAATTTGATGGAACATTTAGGGTTCAACTCATTGGTCCAACCAACAAAAAGATCATATCGTTTCAGTTTAACTTGGGCGGGTTACTAAAATATGGCTTGGTTAAGTTGCCACCTCTAATTGACAACAAATCTGAATACTAGAGAGGAAAAGATAGGATACTGATGTTTTTATCCTAGATCTCCTTAGGCCTTTAGAATAACATGTCTACTTACTCGTTCCAGCAGGCTTCCATAAGAGATGCCAACATTGGAGACGTGTTCTGCGGGACAGTGAGCCTCCTGTTCTGGAAAGCAACAGCACCAACAACCTGAAAGTTTGCAAACAATACGTCAACGACTCCCTCAGGAGGATAACAAGTGTAAGGATGAGTGCTGGAGAAAAATAAGGGNCCATAATATCACGCCAAAGCTATAGACATCAGACTTCTCATTTGAGGGCTCCCCACGAAGAAATTCCGGGGCCATCCATTCAGGCTGAAATGAAGAGCAAGAGAGTTACAAGCTGATAGGACTAAGAAGAAAATGCTCAACCTGCAGGATGCTGATCATAAAGCTGACTTTGTACTGGCATGGGAAGTAGTAACAGTCCATGATGGATATGTTCATCCAGTCCAAGATGCCGCAATCAGACTAATTATATTCGTAGTGCTTCATGAGATATAGAAAGCAATGAAACCAATTTTTCCTTTTAATCAGAAAAAGAAGCTCTGAAGTATAAATGAAGGCAATGTTAAAGGCAATATCAGTGGTGACACAGCCTATTCAACAAACCAAGAGACGAGAGGCTCTTTGAAATTCCATGCTCTTCGTATATTTTAAGTTTGCCAGCATTAAATAAAAGAGACATACAGAGGGAGAGAAAGCACTATGTCCACTCTTCTTTTTAGCGCAAACAGAGAAGTCACCCATGAAAAACTTTGCACGCCAATTTTCATTTTGGGAATTTGGGACCTTAAATAACACTCTTGTCGATTTTCCCACTATGTGATAGATCCTTAAATTGCAATTAGAATGTTTAATGCATTTCTATGACTGGATCAAGGTTTAAGTGTTCCCTCGGCAGGCACTAGGCTTGTTAGGTGTCGGTCATGGGCCTCCTGTTTTGGGTCGTGACAAACTTGGTATCAAATCATAGTCTTCCATCATTTGAACTTGGCTAAATACGTCGATAATAGAAAGAAATAGTTGTACTCTACAATGCGTCATGGCACAAGAATGCAGCTGCCTGTATCAGAGGCTCCACAGTACGTAACTTGCTTGTTTTTGCAATTCCTAAGTGCTAAGAATCTTAGCTTGCAAGATTGGTAAATGGAGCCAAGAGGCTCGTAACTACGGGTACTTACATATGAGAACCGGGG